TAACATATGTATATACTTGTGCGCATGACATAACCCCACACACGCCCACACACACGCACACACATAGGCAAACATCATCTTGTTTTCCTTTTGGTCTTTTGGAGTCACACCCAGAGATGTTCAGAGGTTACTCTTGGCTCTACACTCAGAAATTACTCCTGGTATTGCTCCAGGGACCATGTGGAATGCCAGGGATTGAACCTGGGTCGGCTCCCACAAGGCAAGTGCCCTATCTGCTGTACTATCACTCCGGCCCCCCCAAACCTCAATTTGTAAATGACTTAGGTGACTTAGGGCTACCAAGTCTATGTACGTCTATACCAATTCCACGTTTCCCTCCATTAGTACTCTGAACTTAATGCTTTTATACTCAAGTCTTTGATTTATTCATCTAGAATGGTTTGGCACAAGATATGGAGTCACTTTTTGTTTTGAAATCTATATTGCTTATACAGATGTTTTCATGTTTTTCATCATCACGATTTTGTTATTTAATGTAATTTTACTTTTGTAAGTTTACAATAATTTATCACATTCAGTATTCCAGTACCAATCCCACCACCTTTACATCTTCCCACCACCATTATTTCTAATTTTACCATCACCCAAGCTTGCCCCAGAAGCAGATCCTAGATAATTTATTTTGTATTGCTTGTTATGAATACTCTGCTAAAAATGATCCCAGAAGTTTCCTTGAAGTATGTGAAGATTGTATCTCGCCCTGGAGCCCTTAAACCCTTGTATAAGAGATTACTAACAGGCCATTACAGGTTGAGCCTTGTGCACTAATATATGAGGCTTGTTCCAAGCCTGTGTGGATTGGCCATGAACGTGATGGCGACTGGGTTCTGGAAGTTTTCAGCTGTCCTGGGTGTTCCGGATGAGACTCAGCCTGGCGCAGGGTCTGGAGGCATCTTCCCATCACTCTTTTGAAATGCTTCCTTTCTTATTCATCAGAGCACTTTGTGCGTATGAATTTATTGATTAATTTTATTTTATTCACTTGTCTTTTCTCACTTGTCCTGTTTTATTCACGTGTCCATTCAGTGCCATGCTGCATGTTATTGCTTCATAATACAACTTTCAGGAATAATATTTATAATATTCTGCCTCTCTTATGAGCCTCACAAATTTTAGTCTAAGGCAGAGTCAAACTTTTAATACGTTACCAGCTCACACATTAAAAAAATATATATGCATGGGTGGTTCAGTGGTAGAATTCTCGCCTGCCACGTGGGAGGCCCAGGTTCGATTCCCGGCCCATGCAGTTAATTGCATTTTGGAGCGATAGCACAGCGGTAGGGCGTTCGCCTTCCAAGCGGCCAACATGGCCGACCCGAGTTCGATTCCTCCGCCCCTCTCGGAGAGCCCGGCAAGCTACCGAGAGTATTCGATATGCCAGACACAGTAACAACAAAGTCTCCAATGGAGACGTTACTGGGCCCGCTCGAGCAAATCGACGATCAACGGGAGGGCCTTTACCTTTACCTTTACCTATGAAAAATTGGGGGCCAGAGAGATGGTACAGCAGGCAGGGTGCTTATCTTGCATGTGGTTGACCTGGCTTGGATCCCAGGCACCATAAACAGTCCCCTGAGTTACCACCAGGAGTAATCCCTGAGTGTAGAGCCAAGAGTAAGCCCTGAGCACTGTTTTCTGTGCACCCACACACCCCCAACAAAAAGAGAAAAAGAAAAAATTCTCATGTATCTAAACCTTTTCTCACTCAGGATAAAAGGGGGCTTACAGCCTTCAGATTCTTGCTGCTCTTAGATATCTCTCATGTAAAATGAAGAACCCTTGTTGTAGAATCTGGAGAGATGGCTCAAAGGCCAAGCACGTGCTTTGCATGTGAGTAGCCCAAGTTTGATCCCTGGCACTACATGGTCCCCTGAACACTAAGCTGGGACCACCACCAACAAAATAGTGGGGAAAGAAAAACACCCAATGTTCTCGAGGTGGGAGTATTCTCCAATTAAACTTAGAGACTATCTTTCTTTTGTGGGGAAGTGAGGGGGTGGGCCACACTCAGCAGTGCTCAGGCCTTACTCCTGTCTTTGCCCTCAGGAATCACTCCTGGTGGGCTTAGAAGACAATATGGGATGCCAAGAGCGAACCTGGGGTTGACCATGTGAAAGGCGAGCACCCTACCGGCTATACCGTCTCCCCAATCTTGGAGATTTTCTTTGGCAGTGTTTATTGAGGTTCTTCTTGGAGGTTTTCTGAAAATTAGTTTCTTTGATCCCAAGTACTAAGTGAATTGTTACGATTTCTCATCCTAGTATTATCAGCATGAGTTCTGACCACTAATTAGGGGTGATGCACAGAGCACATCAGCTTGTATTTCTGCAAATAGAGCCCTTTGTTGCTGAGCTAGAGGTCACCCAGTAGCATCTCAAACAGAGGGCTCTCTTAGTCTTTTGACTTCGTTGTGTGGTATCCTAAATAACAGGCACGTGTGTACTGTATGCAAATCATACAGTCTCCAGAGGATGAATAATGTGTGCGTGGAGCTCATTCAGGACAACTTTGCTGTGCCAAATCAGACTGGAAGCTAATGCTGACCACAGTAACTTATTTCATTAGCAGTTTTGCTTGTTACCCATATTTTTGTAGGAGGATCTGGAGAGGGCTTTTCAGCATTGCCCAAACAGGTCTGCAGGGAAACATTTGTCTTCCCCTTGACTGGTTTTCTTCTGTAGCCTGCAGAAGAACATTCATCCTAAGATTCGTTGACTAATGCCTGTCTCGATCACATGATCTACCATCCTTTGCCAGCCAAGCAACTTCAGTCCCTTAACCTAGACGCTGAAGGGAATTTGTGACCTGATTGGGAGGTGCGTAAGACCAGACAGGAGAGCATGCCAGGTGTTGGCTGCGTGATGCCTTCTGCCCCTTGACCTCAGCCACAAGCCAGTGCTACTTTCGGCCGGCCTGGGAACTCTGCCCTCACCTTCCCTTCCCCATCAAGGACCAGGTCTTCCTTCTGCCTTTGGTCACATTTTCTTTCTGTCACACACTGCCTTGTCACGTGCTTCCCACCTTTATAGTGCCATGGTCAGCGTAGGGACTTGGTGTGCCCACGGGATGATCTCACTTATGTGTGGTATTAGAAGACTGGATGAGGAAATGCAGTGGTTTAAAGTGGGGTGCCTAGTCACTTTTGGTCCCAAAGTATATGGAGAAGGAGGAAGGACAATGAGTGGGGGTGGAGGGAGAGGCGACAGATGAGAAGCAACAGGGGTCAAGGGTCAAGGTACATAGGTGGTGTTGGAGCGGGCCCAGTAACGTCTCCATCATGAGACTTGTTGTTACTGTGTTTGGCATATCAAGTACGTCACGGGTAGCTTGCCAGGCTCTGCCGTGCAGGCACGATACTCTCGGTAGCTGGCCGGGCTCTCCGAGACGGGCGGAGGAATCGAACTCAGGTTGGCCATGTTGGCTGCGTGCAAGGCACACGCCCTACCGCTGTGCTATCGCTCCAGCCCATAGGTGGTGTTAAGGAATGACAAACCAGAGTCAACAACACTGAAATCATTGAGACCCAAACTTTAATAACCAAATTTAAAAAAGGTGTCGGTGGGGGTGGGGTGGGGCGTTTGGGGGGCAGTAGGAGAGAAAGCCTGATGGCTTGGTGGAGGGAAGTTAACACTGGTGGAGGGGTCAGTGATGGAACATTGTATGTCTAAAACCCAACAATGAATAACTCTGTAAATCATGGTGTTTCATAAGATAACATTGGGCGAGGGAGCGGGGAACTTAGCATGTCCAGCTGTGTCCTGGTACTGAATAACAGCCACCCTATCCACCTGAACATTCCAGCTACAAGTGCACCTACGCAATATGGAAATTTTGTTCTTATATGGGACACAAGAAATGAAGCTGCAGCCATCTTTGGGCTGCATCTTGTTTGTGTCTAGCAAGCCACAAAGGCCACATGGATGGGAAAGGTCCCTGCCCTAGAGACAGCTGGGGGGCAACACCAAGCCTTTGATACATCCAGCTAATACATCTGTGGAGTTCACCAGGAACCTTGACTTTCTGACTTGTCGTCATTGCTTTTTGTATGTTAGGATTTCCATAGATGTGTTTGGTTTCATTCTCTGGAAAGCATAACTTTGTCAAAGGTTACTTGAGTCACTTTATGGGTCACTTTCTGGGTGAAATGTGAGAAGTGAGTGGTAGTTTTTGGTTAGGTTTTATCTTCCTATTAGTACTGATTTATTCTTGGGTAGTTTTTCAAGTTCGAGTTGCAAGAACACACTTAGAAAGGTTTCCACATTCTGCGTAGGGCCCCCTAAGCAGGGCAGAGCACACTCCCCACACAGCTCACCAAACCCTCATACTCAGTAATCTTTTCGTTCAAACAACGCCTTTGTCCTCCCTTAAGTGTCAGAAGCGTTTACTCGAGGACAGATTGCTCCCTAAGTGGAAAGGACATGGGGTGTGTGCTGAAGAGAGTCCTAGATGTGTGTGATGCTGGGGGCAGGAGTTGGATTCTGTGTGTATGTTGGTACTTTCACAGCAAGGAGTTTAAAATGTATTAGGAAGCCCAAAACAGAAAGTTTGATTTTTCATGAAAAATTAAAGAAAATGTAAGCCTCTCTGTTGAATAAACTGTGCTTAGATTCCTTGATTTAATACGTTTGTCTGCTTCCCTTCACAAGCCAGTGCACTCCACCCTCCGGCAGACAAAACAAGCAGAAATAAAACAAACAAAACTCCAAACAATCAAAATCCACATAAAGCAGAAGTATGAAATCACCGAACTTGGTCTAGAATAAAGTCCCTGCCTTTTTTTCCGTGCTCATGCAGCCACTGGCCTCTCATGTACTCAGACTCCTTGTGTCCTTGGCCACAGAAGCCCTTTGTGCTATTTATGGCGGTCTTGCAGAGGGGAGCTTGCTTTGTGATACCTGGGGAGCACCTTCTCCCAGTGCCTGGAGCTTCTTTGCCCTCTGGAGTGGCCCCTAACTGTGTGTCTCTCCCTTCCCTTTCAGCTCACCTGGAAGAACACCCCGAGATGGCAGAGGAGAGCGGCAGTGGCAGGGATTGTGACTCCTTCAGCGTGCTTAGCTGGGACCAGGTGAGCCGGCTGCATGAGGTCCTGACCGAGGTGGTCCCCGTTCATGGCCGAGGCAACTTTCCGACCTTGGAGATCACTCTGAAGGACATCGTCCAGACGGTCCGCGGGCAGCTGGAGGAGGCTGGTATCAAAGTGCAGGATGTCCGGCTGAATGGTTCTGCTGCAGGCCACGTCCTGGTCAAAGACAATGGCTTGGGTTGCAAAGACCTGGACCTGATCTTCCACGTGGCTCTCCCAACGGAGGCCGAGTTTCAGCTGGTCAGGGATGTGGTGCTGTGCTCCTTGCTGAACTTCCTGCCCGAGGGTGTGAACAAACTCAAAATCAGCCCGGTCACTCTGAAGGAGGCGTACGTCCAGAAGCTGGTGAAGGTCTGCACGGACACTGACCGCTGGAGCCTCATCTCTCTCTCCAACAAGAATGGGAGGAATGTGGAGCTGAAGTTCGTCGACTCCATCCGGCGGCAGTTTGAGTTCAGCGTGGACTCCTTCCAGATCATCCTGGATCCCTTGCTGGTCTTCTACGACTGCTCTGCTGGCCCCATCTCGGAGCACCTGCACCCCCAGGTGATCGGGGAGAGCGTGTACGGGGACTTTGAGGAAGCCTTGGACCACCTGCAGAACAGACTGATCGCCACCAAGAACCCCGAGGAGATCCGGGGCGGGGGTCTTCTCAAGTACAGCAACCTCCTCGTGCGGGACTTCCGGCCCACCAACCAGGATGAGATCAAGACTCTGGAGCGCTACATGTGCTCCAGGTTCTTCATCGACTTCCCCGACATCCTGGAGCAGCAGCGGAAGCTGGAGACCTACCTCCAAAACCACTTCGCCGAAGGGGAGAGGAGCAAGTATGACTACCTCATGATTCTTCGCCAGGTGGTGAACGAGAGCACCGTGTGTCTCATGGGGCATGAGCGGAGACAGACCCTGAACCTCATCTCCCTCCTAGCCTTGCGAGTGCTGGCCGAACAGAACATCATCCCCAATGCCACCAATGTCACCTGCTACTACCAGCCTGCACCTTATGTCAGCGACGGCAACTTCAACAACTATTACGTGGCCCATCCTCCGGTGACCTACAGCCAGCCCTACCCGACCTGGCTGCCCTGTAACTAGCCGTGAGACCGGAGGGTTTCCACAGTGGGACCCCCATAGGCTAGGGCTCTCAGGTAGGGGAGCCTCCTTCTAGATGTAGGTGTTTGGCTTTTAAAGGGGAACTCAGCTCTGATTCTGCCTTTTTTGTTGTTGTTCTTTGCCCATTGGAATGGGTCAACAGTCTTATCATGAGCCAACCCTAAGAAGACCCACTATTCCAGTGCCGCTTTGGAAAATGCTATCGGAAGTCTGACGTACCTAGGCGTAGCCTTCTCAGACAGACGCAAACAAGTCACGCCTCACACTCCTTTGTGAGCTCTGTGCGTTCACTGAGATGGGGGAGATGCTCCGGCTGGGTCTGAGAAAGCGTTTCTGCCGCCAGTCTTCTCACTTGTGCCTCACATAAGCCATGTTGGCCCTCATTAGGGATTCTCAGGAAAGTCGTGCCGATAGTCTTAAGTGGATGTCTCAGCTTTCGTTGGGCAGGTAGTGAGGGGTGTTCTTGTGGCTTCATTTGTGTTGATGCGACTAAGTTGCCTACATTCGTTCCCTTTCAGAGAGCTGAGGATTTCTTTCATTTCCCCCAGAAAACAAAGTCAGTTGCTGGAGAATTGAGATCTAGTTGCAAGTGTTTTCTGGTTTAAATGCGAGTCTATCATGAGGAATTGTGAGAGATTACTGAGGAAAAAAAAAAAAAAGACAACCTGTTTCTTGAAATGTAACTTGAAAAAGATAATAAAATGTGGAACTTGATGCTAAAAGTAAAATGTGGTGGTGGGAGGTGATTGTAAATAGGAAACGTGAATGTTTAAAAAAAATTTCTTTAAATAAGGAATTCTTATTGAATGACACTTTTTCTTTTTTCATTAGCTGATCACTTTTATTTTGCTCTTCCTAAGATTAAGGATTGTGCTGAGTTGAGAGTGGTTCCGATGACCAACCTGAGGGTCTTCCCATGTTTTGACTGGAAATCCATTTGGTTACTTTCTGAGTATGACAAGCTGTTTGGGGGGGAATGCTTTGACTGATTTTTAAATTTTTTTTTTTGTATTTTATGTGGACCCCACCCCCCAAAAGCAATAGTTATTTCTTCTTTCGGGTTTTCTGACAGCAAGTGAATTCAGGAACTTAGATGCAACGGAGTGACCTATGGAACGAGAGAGCACTCTGGACACTGCTGGTCAGATTGAAGTCACCTTAGAGTTGAGCCTGCTGTCAGGAGATCAGGAGATGGAGGTTTAAAATTCACGAGGGCCTCCTGGGCTTCCAAACCCCTGGCAAGAATGACTCTTGGTGTATTAGGGGAAGAATTAAGTGCATAATCTTTTCTTAGTCTCGTTCTGGTATATGTGGTCTCACTTGTTTATGTTCTGCACTTTAGAAGGAAAACAGTGTTAATCTCTAGTCTGAAGCAAGCTTAGTGAAAGGGAACCTTCCAGGCCTCTGCTTTCCCGGTAGACTTAGATTAGGGATTTTGTGTTTTGAAACTTTTTTCTGGAATCTCTTAGAAAACTTCACTTTAGGATAATCAAGGGCCAAGAAACTCTATTTTCCAGCCTGCCGGGTTTTTGAAGTGATTTCATCAAAACTGTGCATCGGATTTTAATGTAATCCTCTGGCCACAAAAGTCCCAGGCCCTGGGTAGCTGCAGTCTCCTTTTAAGCAACAAAGTTATTGGAATGCAAAAATGCTTGGTAGAAAATGAGTGGTTTACCTTTTTCTAAAGATATTTTCAGTGTTTGTACTGTGTGTGTGTGTGTGTGTGTGTGTGTGTGTGAGCGCGCGTGTGTGCGTGTGTTTCTGAAATGTGATGTCTTCGTTCTCTTAACAGCAAATTAGGCCGAAGTGAAACCCCAAGCTTAGTTGTAATTCATGTCATAATCATAGGTGAAACTAGAACCACTTCTTAGTATGAGCAGTTCCTGTCACACTAAGGAGTAATAGTCAAATGGACTAGCTTTCAGTCAAGGATATTTCTACCTGGAATGGGGCCCTGGGATGTTTCAGTGCTAAAATGGAGGGGGCAATGTTGAACAAATACCAGCATTAACAATGTGACATGGTCACCCATGACCTCACAAAGCTGTGCAAAAATGACAGATCTGTTTAACCAAAGCATTGACCTATGATGAAGCTGCCAAATAAGCACTTGATAACAAAAGTCAGTATTGCATGTAATCGGAGATATAGAGATAAGGGCAACGGGACTCCGTACAGATAGGATGAAAACACACCGAATAATTTGATTTCCAGTTCCCAACAGCCTCCTTGGGGTTCTTCATGTTTATTTTTTACTGCTCTGGTCCTCCTAGACCTTTGGAGTTGGTCAGAGGCACGAACGTGGTTCCACGTCCTTTAGTTCTTTCCACCCACATTGTGTGATGGCCATTTTGGTAAACAATCTTATCACCTGAAGTTCTGACTTGACCCAGCTATTTTGGAGTGTGAGAAACATATGTTTTAGGAAAAGTAGGGTGAAGAGTTGCTGACCAAGACTGCCTTTTGAAAACACAGTCCCGGTCTAGTGGTGTCTACAGCCTCTGTTTGCATTTTGCCCACCCCAGAATAGACCTTGAATTTGGGGTGTCTGAAAATCTCTACCGAAACCTGCCTTGCATACTGCTCACATAAGCACCAGATACTCCGAACTGTACAGAGTCCAGTGATTCCTCTGTGTGTGTGTGTTTGTGTGTGTGTGTTTGTATCTGTGTGTGTATGTTGATTAATATGAAACTTGGCAGTGACCAGGGCCACTGAAGCTCAAGTGTGAGCCCTGATATAGATGCAGGCAGTCTTCCGGGCTGGAGGGCAGTTTTCTGATGCTTTCTACTGGTAGGCAGCTTTCTCCCAGTCTAATGCTTGGGATCAGTTTGAGTATCTGTAGGACTGAAGCAGTACCTTTCCCCCTGTTCCTGGCAAAAAGACCCACACCAAATTCTTGGCCTTAAGCATTGGTCTCACTCTTGAGTTTTACTTTGGCAGTAAGACATTATTCCTCGCTCAATAACTTCAGCTTTGAAACCAAACAGTGTATAAGTGACACCTTGAAATCACCGTGCCTGCTGACTGCTTTGGGAATGAGGCATGACCCATCCCTGGGAAGGAGCATGCCAGGAAAGAAGGACCCTGCATTCCTGACAGAGTAATGGCTAGAGTTTGATGTGGGATCAACCCCTCCCACTTTGATTTTTTTTTTTCTGAGCATTTGCTTCAGAGTGCAGTGTGAACCTGTGTTTTGTGGTGACACTTCTAAATGAACTGCTAAAGCCCCAGATCTCCTTATCTGTCCTTTCATCCCCACCCTCTATTAGCTCCTTCCCACCACGGCAGATTAGGATTTTAACTGGGGTGCTTTGTTCATTGTGGATAATGGTGCCACTCGAAAGCCACTCCCCCAATTTAGAAAGAATTCCCTTGTAGTTAACTTTCTGGTGCCTTGTTTTAGGATGCAGCTAGATTCTGAGCTCAAGTGTCCTCTTCTGAGAATGAATTTATTTGTACTTTGCTGACTCACACTCATATGGGGGCATTCTTAGTCATTGAACTGGGACTCTGACTCGGGAAACTTCATTGGGTGGATTCTACCAGGTAAAATCCTTCCAGCAGCAAAGGTTAGAATCACATCCTTCATCTGGCAGAGTCTGAACTCTCAGGGCTGTCGGGCTCGAACTTCATCTCAGCCAGTTAAATTCAGAGGGCCCAGGGAGGTATGGAGGGAGGGACTGCATTTGAAAAGATCTGGCAGACCCTTCAGCATTACTTGGACACTTCCAAGAGGAGGGTCAGGAAAGAAAGTGCTCTTTTTGTGAGTTCAGGTTCTAAATCGTGTTTACCTATTACTTAAAAAAATAAATAAAGTGTAAGCTAAAGAAAATGCCTGGAGTGTTGCCTGGACCAAATCAAGTTGGTGCAAATTGCATGTTTGCACAGAGAGGTGAGAAGACCTTGAAAGAGGAAGTCTGTAAATAATAGGATCCTTGAGCGTTTCATGCCTCAAGCCAACTGGCCTTTGTTCTTCCTTTTTAATGGATAAAAAAACCTGCCTTAGGAAAATTGACTCTATTTTTATCCATTGATGTCCAGATTGATCTAGGTAGATGTTAGGATGAACAATAGGATGATCATTAGACTTCATTGGAAGGTTTTCTCGTTCTATTTGCATACCTGGGAAACTGAGGCTTCCTCTGGTGTTATGGTGGTTGTCCTCCTGGGGTACAGGTGACATCTCTTGTCAGTACAAAATGTTAGAACTTGAAGCATTTGCATTTGAAAACTTTGAGTTTGAGAAATAAATATTATTAAAAAACAAAAGTGTCTCAGTGGTGTTCATTGTTTTATGATTTCTCGTGGCAAACCTGTCGTGGCTTCCGGGAACTGCTGTGGATACCAACACTGTCAGTTTTCGACGCTTCTTTTGCACAGTGTTCTCTCTGGAGGGGTGATCTTGTTTCCTCTTCTCTGAAAGTTTTCCCAACTCATTTTCACTGAACTTGTAGCCAGACTACAGACTCTTTTCTTTCTTTCTTTTTTTTTTAAAATGTAGGAGTACTGCTATTTATTGAGCCATTGATTAAGCTGATTGAATTGGGCATGAACTCCACGTTGCTTTTTTTCCCAATTTTTCAAAACTGGATATCCATGAAATTGACCATTACAAAGCAGTTCATAATTGGGTTTTCAGTCACACAGTGATCCAACACCCATCCCTCCACCAGTGTACATTTCCCACCACCAATGTCCCCCGTTTCCCTTCCACCATCCCCCAACACCCCACCCCTCACCCCCAGCCTCCCTCTAAGGAAGCACTTTCCTTCTTGCTCTCTCTCCTCTTCTTTTTGTGCATTATGGTTTGCAATCAGGTGCTAAGAGGTCATGGCGCTTGTTCATGGCATTCGGTATTTTTATCGGGACAACAAACACAGCCTTTTTCATAGCCCCTCCGTTGGGCAATGCAGTCTTTAAGGGAACATCTTAGATTCAGCATTAAAGACAACCCCAGTGAGAAAAAAGAAGAAAGTAGTGGTAAGAAAATGAAAATAATGTTAACTCTACTCAACACAGCATGGATTTTTATCTTTTGAGTTTGTGCTTAGGGATAACTCCTGCTCTGCACTCAGAAATCCCTCCTGATGGGCTCGAGGGGACCATATGTGATGCTGGGGCTCAAATCCAAGTTGGCTGTGTGCAAGGCAAGAGTCTTATCTGCTGCATTCTCTCTCCAGCCTCTGGTTTCTTTAAAAACTATGTAAGTGGGGCCAGCAGGTTAGTATAGTACAGCAGGTTAGGGACTTGCCTTGCATATGGCTGACCCGGATTCAGTCCCCAGCACCGCAGATGCTTCCCGAAGCCTGACAGAAATGACCCCTGAGCACTTCTGCTGGGTGCTCCCCCACTCCCTTCCCAAATAAGTGCTGTTTGACTAGCACTTGACCAAAGACACAAAGGGGCCGTGAAGGCCTCACACCAGGACCAACATCCTGATTCTTGTGATCCAGTTCATATCCCTGCTGACTTCCCAACTTCCTACCCCTCCCCTGCACTCTATCCTCTGTTGAAATTCTTGAACTCCTTGTGGCATTCTCCGTAACCACCACCCAGACACCAATTGCTTCCACGTGCCTGGAGCCAAACTCTCAAACCTCTCAGACCGAGGGGAAACATTCTGCCTAAGGCTGAGTGGGCGGTTCTTCCCAAACTGCTGCTTTGGCATATTGGTT